AGTTGCTGAGGCTATCTTTGAGCCAGCAATCCTCCTGCCTCAGCCTCTTGAGTTGCTAGGATTATAGGTGTGCACTATTACACCCAGATCATCCACAGGGCCTTTTTAAAACTTTAAGCTAGGGTCTTGCTAAATTGCCCAGGATGGCCTGGAACTTGTGATCCTCCTGCCTCAGCCTCTTCAGTAGCTGGGATTATAGGCACCACCACTGCTCCCAAATTAATGTTTGAAAAAATATATATATTCTTTAGTTGTAGATTGACACAATACTTTTATTTATTTATCTTTATGTGGTGCTGAGGATGGAACTCAGGGCCTCACACGTGCTACTACTTAACTACAACCCCAGCCCTAGAGAAGTGTTTTAAGATAACAAGTCTCTCTGCTCCTGGGAATGAAGATGAAGTAGTTAAGTCTTGCTGCTTTTCAGTGAATGCTCTTGCTTTGCTAAATTTCTTGGAAGAATTGCCAAGTGGAAACAGCAACTGAGTTTGCCCCATACTAAGCTGGTGGGCACTGTCTTTAGGATGTCACATTCAGCTCCATTCTCCCTCAAGGCCAGTGAGGCCAAGATTGAACAACTCCCTGTCAGCTGGCTTTGCTGTGTATCATCAGGGTAACTGGGAGGGAAAGCTGTAGCAATCTCATCCACTGCTTAGCTACACATGTACACTGGGAAGCTTTTGTTTGGATGCAAGCTTTCCAGGTACTGAAGATTTAACCCAGGGGTGCTTTATCACTGTGCTACATCCTCAGCCCTTTTTGTATTTTATTTTGAGACAGGGTCTCCCTAGGTTGCTTGTCGCCTTGCTAAATTGCTGAGGCTGACCTTGAACTTGCAATCTTCCTGTCTCAGCTTCTGTAGCTACTGGGATTAAAAGTGTGTGCCACCACACCTGGCTCTCCCATTTTATAGATCTGAAAGGTTAGGTACTTTGTTTAGGATCAAACAGAAGTATCTAAGACTGAAACCCAATCTTCTCTCTTGATGTCAGAATTCATTCATTTTTAAAATTAAACATGTTTTGGTCCCAACTCCAAAAAAACCAAAGGCCAAATGTACTGATATGCAGATGCTAACACACAATAAGGGATGAGGGAGGGAAGAATAACAGTTCTGTGGATTAGATAAAGGGGAATGAAGAGAAGGGAAGGGGGATGGGAACAGGAAAGACAGTAGAATGAATTGGTTATAACTTTCCTATGTTCTTATATGAATACAGGACCAGTGTAACTTCACATCATGTATAACCACAAGAATGGGAAGTTATACTTCCTGTACGTGTCAAAATACACTATATTGTCATGTGTATCTAAAAAGAACAAATAAAAAAAATAAAAAACGAAACAAAAAAAGTTTTGGTCATGAATTTTTTTAAATATTTTTTTATTTGTGGATGAACACAATACTTTCTGAACTTCAGCCCTAGCATTGGTCATGAATACTTCTGACATACAAAAAGTTACAGAGAAAAACCTGTCAAAATGAAATGCACTTTGCAATCCATACATAGTCCAAGAAATGCAACTCGAAGCCCCATGTACCCTACCCTGTCCTATTAATCACAGAGGAAGGTCCAATTCCTCCCACTTGGGATACACTGCAAAGTGGCATCAGTATCCCTTCCACAGTGCAAGCCAGAAATCTATAGATATAGTGACAACTCTTTCTTCCAATCACCAAGTTAATTACTTTTGGTACTCCTTTGTTTCCATCATTCCTGCTATGGTTTTCCTTTTCACAAGTACCAACTCTTATCTGGATTATATTGATGACCTCCTAACCTGGTTCCCTGCATCTGCTTATCTCATTCCATCCAATCCCACACTGCAACCACCATCCTTCTTAAAACACTTCAATAGCTCCTCTTTGCTCTTAGGATACAGAAAAAACTGCTTGCATGGTATGCAAGGTTTCCCTACTCAATATTCTAGTTCCCTCAGTCCTTTGTTATCTTGTGTTTTGGGGATATTGGTCTTGCTGTTCCTTGTAACCCCCAATTCCTTCCCACCACAAAGCCTCTGTACATGCAATTCCTTCGTTCTTTTTTTAAAAAAAATTTTTAGTTGCTGATGGACCTTTATTTCATTTATTTATTTATATGTGGTGCTGAGAATTGAACACAGTGCCTCACACATGCTAGGCAAGTGCTCTACCACTGAACCACAACCCTAGCCCAATTCTTCCCTTCTTTGGGTATGCTTGCCTTGAGTCCCAACTGGTTATTCCTTGGCAGTGTCATTTTCACTTCACATTTGAGAGGTTAAATGATTAAAATCTATCTTCCCTAACAGGATAAAGACCCAAAAGTACTAACTTAGCATAAAATTTGCTAAACAGATAACAGCTAATGCATATATAACATTTTTAGGGCAGTGTTCCTATGCAACATGTACTAACTCACTTAGGATCTCCCAAAAGCTTTATGAGGAAAGTACAATTATTACCCCCATTTTACATTAAAAGTTACACAGGCTAAGAGTCTGTAAAGCTAGGAAATGAACACAGGAAGCCAGTTTCTGGAGTCTGAGCACAACATTCATGCTATCGGTGCCTCAGCAACACCTGCTGAATGCAGTAGCATGGGAGTACTTTTGACTAACAGCTCCATTAGTAACCTTAGACTATAAACATTTTGTTTTAGTGCTGGGAATGGAATCCAGGGGCATGCTAGGCAAATGCTCTACCACAGAGCTACAACCCCAAGCCCAGGGTCTAATGGTTGACCAGAACTTTACTGCTAAACTTTTATTTTCTCAGGATTTTATTTCAGTTACTTTAAAAATCCATTTGAGTGGGGCATGGTGGTGCACACTTGCAATCCCAGTGGCTCGAGAGCCTGAGGCAGGAGGACTGTGAGTTCAAAGCCAGCCTCAAGAAAGCGAGGCATTAAGCAACTCAGTGAAATCCTGTCTCCAAATAAAATACAAAATAGGGCTGGTGATGTGGCTTACTGGGTGAGTGCCCCTGAGTTCTATCTTGATACCCCAATAAATAAATAATCCATTTTGAGGCCTGGGATGTAGCACTTGCCTAGCATGCACAAGGTCTGGGTTCAATCTGCAGCACTGCTAAAATTAATGAATAAACTAGCAAATGAACGAATTCGCCCTCACCTACCAATGTCATGACTGGTTTTGAGGTAGAGTAAGTGGTCTGGCAAACTGCTGGAGAGCAGGAAAAACTTGACTAAGAAGCAAAGGTGTATGTAGATCATCTGTAGTGTGGGTAATCCATGGAAGGACAATTCAAAATTTTCATGGATGACACCCAAATCTTCATCAATTTATTGCAAAGTTACACACACAGGGCTTCTCCCACCATTAGTAGACAGTGCTCAAGGCTGGGGTGAGGGAACGGTGAAGCCACAGGAAATAACTAGTCACAATATGGTGTGAGGAATGACCTCCATATGCTTCTAACCTCAGAACTGCAAAGAAATTGCTAGCAGAGAAAGATCATTTCTTCTTTCAAAAATCAAAGATAAATGGCCAAGCTTTCCTAATTTTTTTTCAAGTCAGCAAAGACTGACTTGAAAGTTTTCCCAGTGTGGCAATGTAGAGCAATAATTTCAAGCTCAAGCTATATAGTGAAGAGCTCTATAAATCAGCTACATCCAATTCACCTTGAATCAACAAAATGAAATGTAACTTTTCTTCTTTTTTGCTGTGCTGGGGATGGAATCCAGCGCTTTGTGCATGTTAGGCAGGTGCTCTACCACTAAGCTACATCCCCAGCCTTTTTTGAGACAAAGTCTACATTTTCAGGTTGGCCTAAAACCTGTAATCTTTCTGCCTCTGCCCCAGTCGCTGGTATTAAATGCAAACTCCCGATCAATTCAGGAAATGCTTAACCTGGAGCCCACCTACCAATGTCAGGGGAAGTCAAGAAACCGCACTTTTTTTTTTTTAAACAGGAATTTTGCTAAGAAAAGATCTTCATGAGTTCCTAAGACTAAAAAAGACCAAGAAACACGATCCTTTATGACTGTAAACACATTCATTCTGGGTCAAGGTTATGCCTTCGTAGGGGCACCTCTGAAGGGCAGAAACATTTCTATTCTGTCAATACCTGGTAACTACGGACGGAAATCTAAGCCCATCCCTAAGTGAGACTATAAAAACACAGGTCTCAAAACCTACAAACAGACCTAAGGGGCCTCCTTGGAGGGAAAGCGTCGTGAAAGGCCAAGGAGTAGTTAGGAACGCTAGAGTCCAGTCCAGACCAAGTTACTATTACTAAACCACGGTGCGACCTTATACAAGTTCCATACCCTCTCTGGACTTCAATTTCCACGTCTGCGCTTTGGAAGTTGAACCACATGGTCTTCAAAATCTTTTCCAGCCAAGAGTCTAATAACAAGTAGATCTAGCTATTAAAGCAGCTTCATGTGGACGCAGTACAGAACTTTAACGGTCCCCCCCCTCCCCAGGCCCGCGAAACCCTCGCTCAACACGCCCCTCGGAGTGACTGCACTTTCCGGACCGCTGTCCGAGCGGTACGCGGTCAGCTCCACCCCTTCCTGGAGGCGTCCCATCGTGCTCCGCGCTCCTAAAACGGCGGGGCGCCTCCCGCCTTTCCGCGCCCGGACCCCGAACTCCTCTCCCCAGTTCTCCCGGGCACCCTGTCCTATCAACGTCTAGTATCCCAGCCAATCACAAGGACTCCGAGACTCGCCTTCAGCCCACCCTTTTGCCCGCGCTCAGCCTGTCTGAGCTTAAGGCCTTGACCAAGTCAATCCAATCAGTAGCCGGCTCTCACCTGCCCCACCCCGACTTCCCTCTCCTCGGCCAATCCGCGTGCCCCATCCCGCTGCCCGCCCAGCCAACCCGGACCCTAAAACCTGCGGACGAATGGGCGCAGGGCGGCCCTTCAACGAAGAACGCCTGGCCAATTGGGGATTCCGCGTGGCCACAGTGGCAGCCAATCGACGTGGAGCGCGGTGCCGCCGCGGAGAGGTTCAGCCCAATATCCCTCCGCCTTCCTCCCTCCCTCCCTCTCTCTCTCCCTCCCCGAGAGCCGCCGCTCACTTACTGCCTCCCTTCCTTCTTTCTCCCTCCGCCACCCGAGCACCAGCCGCGCTCTGAGCTGCCCCCGGGGTCCCTCCCCCGCCGCCAGAGGAGCAGCTGCCGCCGCCGCCGCCAGCAGCACATTAAGAGGGCGGAAGGAAGAAAAGAGGGGAGGAAGGAGAGCTAGAGCGCCTGCCCAGAGGGAGTCGGTGAATGGGCTTGTGGTGACCCCCGCCCCCCACCCCACCCTCCCTTCCCACCCGACCCCCAACCCCCATCCCCAGTTGGAGCCGCCGCCCGAGAGCCCGGACCGTCGTCTTAGGAGGAGTCGCCGCCGCCACCTCCGCTATGGAGCTGATCACCATCCTCGAGAAGACCGTATCTCCGGGTAGGACGCGGGGGCTGGGGGTCGGGCTGAGGTGATTGGGGTGGGGGAGGGGAGCACGGCCCCTCTGACCCTGCTCCGGTTCCCACTTTCCTCCCACCAGATCGGCTGGAGCTGGAAGCGGCGCAGAAGTTCCTGGAGCGTGCGGCTGTAGAAAACCTGGTGCGTCCCGTCCCGCCGCGCCCCATCCCGCCGCGTCCCCATCCCTGAGAGCGGGCCTTCCCGCCCTCCCGGAGGCCCAGGCCTCGGGAACCCACCCCGCCCCATCCCGTCCCCCTCCCCCCCCGCGCCCGGTCCAACCTAACCCCGCCATCGGGAAGCCGGTGGGTGTGTCCCGCCCCGGGCCCCGGGGCTGGCCAATGGTGTACCGCGCCGGGGTGACTGCTGCCCAATCGCCGTGCGGACTGAGGGCGGCGGTGCAGCGGGAGGGAGAAAGAGGGAGGGAAGGGAAGTTAGGTTGCACGGCGCTGCGTGTTCAGCAAGGGTGGGGGTGGGGGAGCCGGGCCTAGGGGCCATGTGGAAGCTCCTGGCCCGCCTGCTTGCCGGGTGGTGGCCGAGGCCGGCTTCTCCTTCCTGTCCCTTGGCCCCTGTGTCTCTCTCCACCTACTTCCCAGAGTTCTACCCTTTCCTATCTCTCTTGGTCTGTGCTTATGGCCAGGCCTGGCACCCGACCGCCTCTCAACCCATTCTCAGTAAAAATTTTTCCCTTTGCTGCCTGGTTATTACTTTTCTGAGATATACATACACATACATAGATAGATATATATTTGAAGTTAGGTGAGTAGAGATTTGATCACTAGGGATCTGCATCCAGACAACGGACAGACTCATCCTTGAGATCAGGCCTATTTCCTGATGAAATCCCAGAGGAAAGTTCCTGCCTCTCATGTTTTCAAATTTAAGGGGCACCAAGAAAAAAGGAAATAATTTCGCTAAGGCTGGACCTTTGTTTAAAAAAGTGAGGTGGATTGGTTAAAATAGCCTGCTGCCAGAAATGTTTCTCTTTGGTGTCCCTCCCTTGTTGGGGGGGGATGGGGAGCACAGGGAAGGGTGGATGATACTTCAAGTCTTTTTAATAGGTAATAAGTCTGAAGAACACTGTAACCAGATGTGTTCTTTTGCAATATCCTGGCACAATAATGTCAACGACAACAAGGTGGCAGGGCTTATTTTATACAAACTGCCTTTGAATGATTATTTTCCATACTTATGTGTGCTAGCTTTTACTAACTTTTTTATCCTTTGTCTAGAATAAATTTTCCTGCTCCTATAGGCTGATAAACTCCATTAAGAGTATATTCCTGTTTCTGCTTTTACTAATTTGCAAAAAAGCCTTTTATTCTTTAAATTCTTTAATGGTACATAGTTAATAAAATTGGGAGGAATTACTTTCTCTCCTGTGCTTTTAGAATTTGTTAGCAGTAAGAAATTGTATCTACTTTTGGCTTCTATTGACTTTCCTCTTTGGATAGGGCTTTTTTGGTGTGAAAATTTTTAAACAAGGGGTGGCTTTGGGGACCTGTGTGTTACAAAAGATTGAGTATGCTTTTCAGGGATCTATTATATTTAGTAGACTAGTCTAAAGTGTGTAGGAGCCTTAGTACATTTTTGTTGCAACAACTTGCCTTGCCATTTCTATCTTTTCAGTTATTCCCTAATTCTAAATATTCATTAGCATTTTGCCTTATAACTCGGCTTGTTATTGTTCCTCAGAGCTAGGCTCCTAAGTCTTGTGTTGGAGACTAGAAATTCTTATCTACAAGAATTTCCCTCTTATCAAAGATTACTTGCTTCCATGAGATCAAAAGCTGCCCTCAGTATCATTTTTGGGGGGCTAAGGTATTTTAAATTTAGAAAAAGAATTTTACTTTTGTTCCCTGTCATAATCCTTCAACAAATATTTATTGAGTACTAATGTGAAAATTTGGAAAGATGATCTTAATGGGGAATCTTAATAAGTGTGAGGCTGCAGAAGATGGGAACTTCATCACATACTCAATGACATTTATAGTTTGTTTTTGATACGTGGTCTTGCAGTGTTACCCAGGTTGGTTTTAAAATTCTGGACTCAAAGGAGCCTGCCTCTGAGTGCTAGAACTATAGGAATATGCTACCATGCCCAGCTTTGGATTACAAATTTGATGTTTTCTAAGATAATTGAACATGATGTCCTGGAAAATTGACTGGTCTTATCCCCATTCCCGATCCCGCATGGTTTGGTGCTCTATAAACTATCCAGAGTTGTTTGAAATTTCTAAGAAATTTTCATTTACAAATGCATTTTTTCTTAACAGCCCACTTTTCTCGTGGAACTGTCCAGAGTGCTGGCAAATCCAGGAAACAGTCAGGTTGCCAGAGTTGCAGCTGGTCTACAAATCAAGAACTCTTTGACATCAAAAGATCCAGATATCAAGGCACAGTATCAGCAGAGGTGGCTTGCTATTGATGCTAATGCACGACGGGAAGTCAAGAACTATGTAAGTAAATTGCACCTCATTTTGGTCATACTGTCTAGGGAATAAGAAACATCTTTGTTCTTTTGTCATTTGTTTGGGACGGAGCTTGACAGTGTGACATTTGTGGGTTCTAAACTCTACCTGAAGGTGAAAGTTGTATTTGGTTTTAATGTCTTTCAATTCAGTTTGTCTGATGGATTGGAATTCAGTATCAAATGACTGAGGTAGCCTGCAATGGTTTGGAGAGTTTTAATTGGATCTCTTTGAATTGGAGTAGTATATGAATGGATGCTATATCAGAATCACTTACATAATCTCTGGGGATGTAGCTCAGTGGTAGAGCACAGACCACATGGCTGTCGTGGCGTTGGGTTTGATCCTCAACAGCACACCCCAAAAAGGGGTGTGGGTGTGTGAATTTCTAAGCTCTTCAGATATTTTGGTTTGGAAGGCCTAGAATAAAAGTTTTTTTTTTTTTTTTTTTAACTGTTATCCTATGTGATTCTTTCATAGTTAACCAGCATCTAGCTCTTGTTGAACTTCTGCTGTAGATAGTTCTCATTCTTTGCTGGTTTAAGCTTGGCATTGTGTGGAATCAGAAGAACTAAATGATTTCTTGGGCCTTTCAAGCCCAAAGAGTTTGCAGAATGAGTATGACATTAATGATGGATGCTTTTATCTACTTAGCAAATTGTGAAAAACTTAAATACTTGACTTTTTTCAAGAGTGAGATGATGAATTTTGAGGAAAATGAAGTATCCTTTGTTGCTTTGCATCATAACGTTCTTTTGACTTTCTTGTTGAATTAGAAATTCATAATTCTATCAAAGTATGGGATGTAGAATATAAAGATAGGTTTGGGGTAGGTTGGTTGGTTGGTTGTCTTAATGAAGTTCTTTAGTGGCCTGTGTTATGTGGATAAGGCCCAAAGGAGATTAAGTTAAACATTTGTGCAGTCATTTTGAGGAGAAACCAGTGGGCAGATCATGGTTATACACCATATTTACTATATCTTAGTTCTATATGATAAGTAGCTTTAGGCAAATTAGTGTCCCTTAAGGCAACTACTTCTCTTTGTAATGTGCTTCTTTTTGCAGTCTTGCAGTTAGGAAAGCTGTCTTACTTTTAATATTTTTTTGGAATGTGTAAAGCTGTTTCAATTCACTCTGGGTCTGCTTGTGTAACAACACTCCCTTCAGCCAGTTGACATAAGGGAAGCATACTCCATCAAAAAAATTTTTTTTCCTCTTTGTGATGGTGTTTCCCTATATTGCCCAGGTTGCCCTGAAACTCCTGCTTCAGCCTCCTGAGTAGCTGGGACTACAGGCTTGTGCCACCACGCATGGCTCATCACTGAAAACTTTGATGCTCGTTGTGCCCATTGGATTTCTCATTTCTTCAAAGTGTGTGTGTACACGCACACACATATTGGAACTGTAATTGAATTTATTGGCACATTGCTCTTGACACTTCTTTTTTGGTACTAGGGATTGAACCTAGGGGCTCAACCATTGAGCAACATTTCTGGTTCTTTATTTTCTTTACTTTTTTATTGAATAATAATTATTGTTGTTGTTGAATTTATTGCTCAGTAAATTGCAGAGGTTGTCCTTGAGCTTGGGATCCTCCTGCTTCAGCCTCCTGAGTCATTGGAATTGTAGCCACCGGATCCAGCAATGCTAAAATTTTTAAAAAATTGGGTAATAATCAATATTGGCATGGTTGAACTCTATTGCCTGAGAAGAAATTAGCATGAGCTGAGTGTGGTGGTGTACACCTATAATTCCAGCTACTTGGAAGACTGAGACCCAGCTGGATTGCTTGAGTTCACAAGTTCAAGGCCAACCTGGGCAGCATAGTGAGATTCTATGTGTCTGTGCCCCCCCCCCCCCAAAAAAAAAGAAGCCATTAACTTGTCCTTTTTCATAGTATATCTAATTATTACTCTTAGTGTTGGTGGTCTTTTTAAAGTGGGAAGAGATGGGGTTTCTGTGTTGTCTAGGCTGGTCTCATTTGCTATAGCATCACTCCTAGTTTAAAGGGGAAAAAAAGGTTTTTGTACTCAGAAATTGGACATCTCTAGCCTCTAAGTTACTTCAAGTAGTATTAACTAAGGGTCTTCTAAAAGCAATTTTAAAGAAGAGATAAAAGGGTCTGGGATTATGGCTTAGTGGTAGAACGCTTGCCTTGCACACGTGAGGCACTGGGTTCAATCTTCAGCACCACATAAAAATAAATCAAATAAAGATATCATGTTCATCTACAACTAAAAAATATTTTTAAAAAAAGAAGAAGAGATAGGTGAATGGGATTCAATGTGCTCCATATATGTACAGAGGTGTGAATGGGATTCAGCATAGTATAAAGATACCCTGGCATGGGGAAGCAAGGAAAGAAAAGGATTGCTTAGTGAGTACGAAATTATTGCTAGATCAGAGAAATAGTTCTGGGGTGCTGTTACACAATAAATTTTCTATAGATAATGGTATATTTCAAAAAAGTTACAAGAAAGGATTTTGAATGTTTTTTACCACAAATGACGAAGGTTTAAGGAATGTTATGTTTACCCTGATTGGAACTTTTTATAGTATATCTGTATATTGAAGCTTCAGGTGGTATTGCATTAATATATACAATTTTTGTCAGTCAATCTACCCCACCAAAAATAAATAAATAAATAAAGTACTATGGACTTTAGTCCTTTAAAAATACCCATTTAGCCCCTGGGACAATTCAGTTCATTTTTCCCCTCGATACATTGTGTTTTTAACATAGTTTTTGTCCATTCTGCTGTGCCTAGAGAACAAAATTTTGTTAAAATTAGTTTATTACTGGGTAAAACTGTTGGGGGTGAGGGCAGTCAGGGATGGTGATATATTGTGTAAAAGTGAAAGGTGGGGAGTTCATTATTAGCTGATAATTACAAAGCAGAGTACTAAGTGACCTGACCCAGTCAGCAGAGCTGGCCTGAATATCTGGTAGCTATTCTTTGTCCTGTGTTCATGCCAGGAACAGTTAACTGTTTGACTTTGAGTGGACTGGGGATTCTTAGTGCCTTCATTGACTGAATTTAGCTGATCGTGGTAATGATTAACACTGGGTCAATTGTGGCTTCATCCTTTAGCCTAACCTGTGACTTCACCCATTACATAAATGTTTGAGTGATTAACACTTCCAATGAGATATATTTAATGACAAGTGAATCTTGTTTTAATTGGCATATCTGTCTAGTTCTTGGAATCTGTTGGTAGTAGAGGGAACCATTCTTGGGCAAACAGAATGAATCCTTTTAAAAATAAGAATTCATTTTTAGGTTTTTGTAGCATCAGGAACTTTTGTTTCCATATTCAGTGATATTGCTTAACCAAGGCCTTTCTCTTTAAATCACTCAGAGTGCTGGGCTGTTGGTAACTAGAAGCAAGGAGGTTTATTTCACATGTCACCTATAAGTAGGATCTTTTCCTTGAGGCAGGTTTTAGACAGTGTCCTACTGTGAATCAGACCCACCTGGATGCCCCATAGGTGTTGTTCTAAAGCCTCACGTTTCTTTCCACAACAAGGCTGTGAGCATTCTTCCCTTATATCACCATCAAGGAGCATGGAAGATTTGTGTCATTTCTGTCTTGAGGATCAAACCCAGGGCCTTGCATGTGTTAGGTAATCATTCTGCTACCAAGATATATCCTCATCCCTAGAAAAATGAATTTTATCCCTTGCTCTTCCCCCGCTCCCTTTAATTTTCCTTGACAAGGTTTCATTAAGTTGCCCAGGCTGCTCTCAAACTTGCCATCCTCCTGCCTCAGCCTCCATGTACTAGCTGAAGTTACAGGCATAGGTCACCATACCTGGTTCCCACTTAACTTTTAACACTATCTCTCCTAACCACTAGTTTTCTGCTGTGTTGATTGTTTTCTGCTGTGTTGATTGAGGTGTGTGGTTGTAATTCACAGCAGGGGATGGTTGGTTTTGCTTTTAGGCTCTGGGGAATGTTGATTTTTAAAGGTGTTGGTATTGAGGCTCGCATGGTTTGGGCTTTGTTTTGTTGGCAGAACTTAAGAGACAATGATATAAGGGGTGTGGTGGTAGGCAAATATGCTGAAGTTATTACAAACTGACAAATTTTGTCCCCTGTTTTCCAGGTTTTACAGACTTTGGGCACAGAAACTTATCGGCCTAGCTCTGCCTCACAGTGTGTAGCTGGTATTGCTTGTGCAGAGATCCCAGTAAACCAATGGCCAGAACTCATTCCTCAGCTGGTGGCCAATGTCACAAACCCCAACAGCACAGAGCACATGAAAGAGTCAACATTGGAAGCTATTGGGTACATTTGCCAAGATATAGTAAGTGCTTGCCTGGTGTATTTAATATTTCTATCTCTGATTCTCTCTAGCTGTGGACTTGCATGATGTTAGGATTAGCCTATCAAATCATAAAGAAAACCATGCTGCTGCAATGTTTTGAAGTAGAACTGTTTGTTAATTTAGATCTATCCTCATAGTTCTAATCATGCACTGAGTAAAGAAACTTGAAATTCACAAATTCAAAACATGACCAGGGATGTAACTCCATGGTGGCACATTTGCCTAGCATGAGCAATGCTCTGGGTTCTATTTCTAGCATTGTAAAACAAACAAAAGTAATAATAAACTTAAAATTGAAATCCATATGTTTGGAGAAACTGGGTTTTTTCCCTTTTTTTTCTTTTTGCAGAGCTGGGGATTAAATCTAAACACTTGAGCATGCTAGGCAAGTACTGTACCACTGACCTACACCCTGAGGTTATTCTTATCTGGCGCATCCCTGAATTGAGATCCTCAATGTCCCATGAATTCCTGAGTGCTTTTCCATTTACTAAATTGCAGAAAGATTTGCCAGTTCTTCATACAGTTGGGGTCGCAGCACAGTACTTCAGTTGCAGCCGCAGCCCTCCTACGATTATTATTGCCCCTGGAGGTTACCACTCTTTTTTATTTTGTACCAGGGATTGAGTCCAAGGGTCCTTAGCCACTGAATCACATCCCTAGCCCTTTAAATTGGTACCAGGGATTGAACTCGGGGGCACTGAGCCACATCCCCAGTCCTGTTTTGTATTTTATTTAGAGACAGGGTCTCACTGAGTTGCTTGGCGCCTGGATGATGCTGAGGCTGGCTTTTGAATTCGCAGTTCTCCTGCCTCAGCCTCCTGAGCTGCTGGGATTTCACAGGCATGTGCCATCACGCCCAGCCAGTATTTTTTATTTTTGAGACAGGGTCTTACTAAGTTGCTCAGGGCCTAGCCAAGTTGCTGAGGCTGGTTTTGAGCTTTTGATTTTCTTGCCTCAGTTTCCCAAGCTATTGGGATTACAGGCGTGTGCCAATGTGCTAACATGAGGTTACTACTCTTGGTAACTGTTTTATGTAGACTTCATGTAGCAAACTCTCAGCACTTGACTTGGAGTTAGATACACCTAGTTGTATTATACTAAGGTATTGATCTTTGGCCCTCAGCTATTCTGAAATTATTTGGTACAGGTGAAATACATTATACAAAAGGAGAAGAAGCTAATGTTAACTTATGCCCATAGACATTATGCTAAGAAATCAGAGACAAAATTGATGAGATTAATTTGTTTCTGTTCAAATTTTGGACTACTAGTTCTCTTGGTTATTTTATGGTTACTTTGCAATAGTGTCCCAAAATGGAAATGCTTGGAAAATATCACAAAGTAATGATAATTAACTCGTGGATTTTACAGTTAAAAGGACTGCTGATTAGTCATGAGTTTGTTATTATGTTCATTGCATTTCTTTGCTTTTTTCAGGACCCAGAGCAGCTACAGGATAAATCCAATGAGATTCTGACTGCCATAATCCAGGGGATGAGGAAAGAGGAGCCTAGTAATAATGTGAAGCTAGCTGCTACTAATGCACTCCTGAACTCATTGGAGTTCACCAAAGCAAACTTTGACAAAGAGGTAAGTTTTCTTTTTCTTTCCCTGGGGTGGAACCCAGGATCTTAAGCAGCTGGGCAAGTGCTCTACTTGTGAACTACACACCTAGCTGAAGTAGGTTTTCTTTTTAAAACTTTGGTATAGGTTCAGAGGTTACTTGTAAAAGAAAACAGCATTACTTAGTGGGAATATTTTGGAATTTTAAAAAATTATAGCAGTGGGGCTGTTCACTTTAGGAAGGTGCTCTTTAAGAACGATATAAATGTTTTGCCTGAAAATCTTCCTGTCATTTACTTGTTTATATATAATGTAAAATATGCATACAACAAAATTTGCCATGTTTTATTGGTGCATTATAATTACACATAGTAGTGGGATTCATTATGTCATATTTATACATACACATAATTTGATCAATCTCTTTCCCTAGTACTTTCCTTTTCCCTTAAAATTTACTGTTTCAATAGTATATTCATGTGAAAATGGAACCAATCTTCAGAGCTTTTGCATCTTGAAAAAATGTCAGACTGAATATTGGGCTGGGGTTGTAGCTCAGTGGTAGAACACTTGTCTCACATGTGTGAGGCACTGGGTTTGAGCCTCAGCACCACTTAAAACACAAAAATAAAAGATATTGTGTCCATCTACAACTAAATGTTTGTGTGTGTACATTGAAAAAAGATTCAATGTTATTTATTTATGTACATATACTATGTTTATTGAATTATCCATTTGGATTGCTTCCATCTTTTTGTCTGTTGTGAATGATGCAGTTGTAAATATGGGTATATACCTTTCTGATTCTAATTCTTTTGAATGTATATCCAAAAGTGCAATTACTGGGTAATCTAGTCTGAAGACTTTTGTATTTGTTGACAATTAAGCTGGGCGTTTGCCTTTATTGGAGAGGTCTGAGAAGCCAGAGGAAACTGCAGTTCTAATTGATTAGAAAGCATGTTTTTTTTCCTTATAGACTTCAGAAGAGTTAGGAGAGTAGCAAATGAAGTTCATATTTTGTTCTCCCTTTACTCCTCACATTTGATGAGGATTTGCTACCCTCCAGAAAACAAATTTGGCCCCTGAAATAGTACAGATGTTTTGAGTTCTCTTAAATTTTAAATACAAAGACATTAATTTTTCTACATGTAGGTTTTGGTTTTTTCTTGAAATGATCAACTTTATTTAAACCACGTGACTTTGTTATTTTCTGCCTAAATTCTTAATAGTGAAGGTCATCTTAGAGATTAAAAAGGATTAAAACCTTATAAGGTAGGTTGTATACCAGACACTGGAGGCAAACTGTGTAGCCTCCATAGTGCCATTGTTGCCTCAAGGAATAGTTGGTGGATTATACCAGGGTTGTATGGGGCCCTCAAGGAGCAGCAGGTTTTTCCTTATATTGAGAATTCAGGAATCAATAAGTATGGTTCATATTTTCATAATTTTCTTTTTCTTTGTTCTTTCCGCAGTCCGAAAGGCACTTTATTATGCAGGTGGTCTGTGAAGCCACACAGTGTCCAGATACACGGGTAAGTGTGTGGTCATACGAAAAAATAGGGCTCTCTTATGTACTTCCTTGGAAATGTCAACTCTAACTTAGTTTGAAATATAGGGAGTCAATGGACTAAAACAAGGTTTGAGTAATATTATAAAGAATTTTTTCCAACGTATTGGAGGAGAGAATAGTACTACTTGGAAAGAGCGTAATGGAAGTTGTAAAGGAGAGAGAAATGGTGGGTCCTTTTTTTTTCCCCCTCCTCTCTGTACTAGGATTGAACCCAGGGACACACTACCATTGAGTTATGGCTCCACCTCTTTTTTATTTTTTCCATTTTAAACAGGATCTCACAAGTATCTGAGGCTGGCCTCAAACTTATGATCTTCTGCCTCAGTCTCCCAGGTTGTTGGGATTATAGGCATTTGCCCAGAAGAATGGGTTTTGATCAGCTTTGCTATTTTATTGCCATGTTATTCAAATGATTGTTTCAACTGTAGCCACTGGAATAGTTTTGCTATTGGTGTAACCTAAACTTTCCCTTTAAAGTCTATTTTTAAAAGTGGCATTTTCATTCTGAATAGAATTAGTGATTTTAGGGCTGTCATATGTCCCTTGGGCACCTTTGAAGGAAAAAAAAAGGAAATGGGAAGGGATAATGAGAACTGGGGGTAGAGATTGATTTAGGGGGAGATTTTTGACATTACCCATACACAACCTTGACCCATTAGAGTCTACCATTGCAGATTGTGTTATTTTTAGTAAATTATTTAATTTACTCTTCTTAAAAGGTACGAGTGGCAGCTTTGCAGAATCTGGTGAAGATAATGTCCTTGTATTATCAGTACATGGAGACGTATATGGGCCCTGCTCTTTTTGCAGTAAGTATTTCTTTTTTGTGTGTGTGTATGTGTATGTATATGTACTGGAAATTGAACACAAGGATGCTTAACCACTGAGTCACATCCATCCCCAGCCCTTTTTAATTTTGAGACAGGGTGTCACTAAGTTGCTGAGGCTGCCCTTGAACTTGTGATCCTTCTTCCTCAGATCCTAAGTTGCTGGGATTGCAGGGGTGTACCACCATGCCCAGTCTCAAGTATTTCAATTTTTAGGTGATATGAGCTTCTAGCTGATTGCAGGGAGTCATTATTCTTAGTTGCTGTTTTGTAATTTTGTAATTTTTTACTTAATATTGTGAAATCAAGAAAATTCCTTGAATGTGTGAGTAAATATAAGCAGCTCAGTGGTGTGCCAAAAAAACTTGTACTATTATTGTCTTGGTAAAAGGAGTATATTTCTTGTTTCTTTATTTCAGACCTAGCTTTCATAAATTATGTTTTTGAAACTTGAATCTGGTTAAAGAGGAGGGTCTAACTTGAGTCAATACTTACTTGAGGTCTGCGGTGTCATGTTTTTTCTCTTAAGATCACAATTGAAGCAATGAAAAGTGACATTGATGAGGTGGCCCTACAAGGGATAGAATTCTGGTCCAATGTCTGTGATGAGGAAATGGATTTGGCCATTGAAGCTTCAGAGGTGAGCCTGGGAGAACATCACCATAGGGGAAGTGCTATTCTGACTGGGCTTGAAAGGTATTTCCATTTGTAGATTCTGGATGTCTCCCCACCTCCCCCCCAGCCAAACCTCCTCACAAAGGAAACAGATCTATAATGAGGCAACTTATGTTTTTGTAGATATCTGACATGATTTGTTGTACATAATGGTATTAGTACTATGAACACAAGGGGGCAGTAAGAAGTCAGTTTTACCCATACACAAACTTGACCCTTTAGAGTCTATCTTTAGTGACACCTGATGCTAAATTATTTCCTTTTTGGAAGTCCTAATGCATGCACAGGATGTGTATTTGATAGTTTACTAACTGGTGAAGGAATCAGATAGAGAGGTACAAGGAAAAGAGTAGTTGTGCCCTTAGAATCTTCAAATTTAAGCTTTACTTCCAACCTTGTTTGTCATCTTGTTCTTCTAAAACAACAGCCTTATTTTTGTCATCCTATGTAAACTTCACGTATCTCTTAATCCAAAGAACACTAGATGTAAGGTTATTAAAATGAGTTGAGTTTGTGAAAAAGAATGTAATTTTTAAAGTTGCCTTGGTCCTTTAAGATAGATTTTATGTATAATCAAAAGAATATCATGTCAAGTAGATGAAAAAGTGAGCACTTCCAAAGATCACAGAAAATATTACTGTTGGCCCCATATATTTGTCACTGATCTTGGGTCGGCTCTCATTGTATCCCTTTAGTATTGCAGCTTGTTCGATTTTGTCTTAGAATCTGCTATACATTTCTCCTCAGGCAGCAGAACAAGGACGGCCTCCTGAGCACACCAGTAAGTTTTATGCCAAGGGAGCACTACAATACCTGGTTCCCATCCTCACACAGACGCTAACTAAACAGGTGAGCCTCCTTCCAAATCTAACAAGGTAAATTGTGAAACCTTATTTAAGGTGGGTTGGTTTGCTGTGGAACAGTTTCCATGGAGCAGCTTGGCAGCCCACCAACTATTTGATATTCTGTTATAGATGACTCAGGAATAACTGAGCTGAACTGAGCTGGATCTGTAAGATCTCCTAGGCTTTGAGCTGTTTATAAAAAAACGGGTCTGAATATCTCATGTGTCTTAATTGGGAAGAGAGCACACACTGTTTTGATATTACTGAGTACAGCATTATCCACAGTAATAGAAGAGGTGTGTTCTGTAAAATTTGCAGTAAAGGTTGGGGGCTGGGAGTGTTACTCTGGTAGAACACTTGCCTAGTGGGTGCATGGCACAGGCTCAATGGTTGGCATCAAAAACAAAAGTTGGGAGGAGAGATGAACTAGGTTTAAGCCATTCTAATACCTAGGGTATCTTCATAAATCCGTGCTATATATATATATATTTAAAATGCTAATTAGGTTAGTTTAAGAGTTATATTCTGACCCATAAAAAGAAACTTTACTAATACAAATTTTTTGTAAAAAGTGTGTCTTCCTTGCCATTCTGCTTTTTGTTTTGGGTATTAGGGATTGAACTCAGGGGCACTCAGCCCCTGAGCCACATCCCTAGTCCTATTTTGTATTTTATTTAGAGACAGGGTCTCACTGAGTTGCTTAGCGCCTGGACGATGCTGAGGCTGGCTTTGAACTCTCGATCCTCCTATCTCAGCCTCCTGAGCCGCTGGGATTACATGCATGTGCCACTGCACCCGGCTGCCATTCTGTTTTGACTTTATGCATCAGTTTTTCTTGGTATGATGTTTGGGACAGGTGCTTTTTTGTTTTTGTTTTTTTTCTGCCACTTCAGTTCTTACAGTGCATGTGAAATATTACCAAAGAATTGGCAGTGCTCTGTGGAAATAGTTAATTTGAGCCCTAGAAATCTCTTTGTACATGGTAATATAATTTGTTTTTAGGAATATACACATTTTAACTTTGTCTTCAAAGGATAAGTAGAGATGTTTGGTTTGAAATGAACTGTGTTTCCTTTTCATCTCATCTTTCAGTTTTACGTTGATTTTTTTGATCTTTTAGTGTCTTTGCTTTTGTGTATTTTTGTTATTTTTCTGGCTTGCATACAAGTCTTTTTTTTTCTTAGTTGTAGATGGGCACAATATATTTATTTATTTTTACATGGTGCTGAGGATTGGACCCAGTGCCTCACAGGTACAAGGCAAGTGCTCTACCACTGAGCTACAGCCCCAGCCCAACAAATCATTCTTTATGTGTATAATTTTCTGACACTCCATAGGCAACATGCGTTAAGTTATTGTGTGGTGATTCGCCATAATAGATATACCTAGTCTACTTTTTAAAAATTTTTATTTATTTATTTGTCCTAATTTGTTATACATGACAACACTTCGATTTCAATTCATAGTACAAAAATGGAGCACAATTTTTCATTTCTCTGGTTGTACACAAAGTAGAGTCACCCACCATTCGTGTCTTCATACATGTACCTAGGGTAATGATGTCTATTTCGTTCCACCATTTTTACTTTCCCATGGTTCCCTCCTTCCCCTCCCTCCCCTTTGCCCTATCCAAAGTTTCTCCATTTTTCCCACATTCCCTCCCCACCCCCATTATGGATCAGCATTCACTTATCAGAGAAAACATTTGGCCATTGGTTTTTGTATGGAAATAAACGATAACTAAAGTCATTATATATATTCTCTACATGTTTGTGACTTAACCTGTTGTTAAAACTTGGTCATTCTCAATTGTTATAAAGGCTATGCTATTGTGAGTATTTCTGGAAGAGACTTAAAAATCAGGGCTTAATATTTTATTTCAAGAAGCTTAAGTTCTAAAGGTATTTGGGAGTCATCAGAAAACCTTTTGAATAAAAGTAATTCTTTGAACACAAACTCAACTAGTGCCACATCTTTCACCAGGATGAAAATGATGATGATGATGACTGGAACCCCTGCAAAGCAGCAGGGGTGTGTCTCATGCTTCTTTCCACCTGCTGTGAAGATGACATTGTGCCACATGTCCTCCCCTTCATCAAAGAACACATCAAAAACCCAGATTGGCGATACCGGGATGCAGCAGTGATGGCTTTTGGGTGTATCTTGGAAGGACCAGAGCCCAATCAGCTCAAACCACTGGTTATACAGGTAAAGCTGAGGGAGTTTTGTAAATATTAGTGGAATATTTATTGTTTGTTTCAACTTTTTGTTTTGAGTGTGCTTTTGTTTTTAGTTATTTGCTGTCATTAAGAATATAACGTATCGGGGGCTGGGGTTGTGTTTCAGCAGTAGATTGCTCACCCAGTACATGTGGGGCCCTGGGTTAGATCATGAGCACCACATAAGAAGTAAATGAATACAATAAAGGTATTGTGTCCAACTACAACTAAAAAATAAATATTAAAAAAAAAATAAAGTATTAGGATGGGGCTGGGGCTCAGTGGTAGTGCACTTGCCTGGCGTGTGTGAGGCACTGGGTTTGATTCTCAGCACCACATATAAATAAATAAAGGTCTACCAACAACTAAAGTAAAATATTTGTTTTTAACTTTTCAGAATTATGTAAATTGAGCCGGGAATGTGGCTCAGTGGTTGAATGCTTTGCCTGGCATGTGTGATACCTTGGGTTTAGTCCCCAGCACTGCCAGAAAAAATAAAAATTAAGTTAAATTAAATGTCATAAATCCAGAAACTTTTGAATGCAGAGAAAACCAAAAAGAAAGTCCCATTTTCTAGGGATTACTCTTAACTAAATATTGATCTGTACAGCTTTTTTCATTGTACTTGTGTATAATAAGAAAGGGCTCTTACAGTCTTATAACTATGTTTAGGGTATGATTTTTCAACATCATAGCATAAACATTTCCCAATTATTTATTTATTTACTTTTGGATCAGGTTGTCACTAAGTTGCTGAGGCTGGCTTTGAATTTGTGATCTTCCTATCTCAGCCTCCCAAGACACTGGCATTATAGGCATGTGCCACCACACCTGTGTTTTTTTTTTTTTTTAAGGTAGTGACTCACTATGTTGCCCAAGCTATCCCCAAATTGCTGGACTAAAGCAATCTTTCTGCCACTGTTCCCAGCTGCCATACATATATATGTGTATATAAAGATGTTTTTAGTTGTAGATGGACATGACTATTTATTTACTTTATATTTATGTGGTGCTGATGATCAAGCCTAGTGCTTCACACATGCTAGGCAAGCACTGTACCACTGAGCCACAACACAACCCTAGCCTTGCCCTATAATTTTTAATGACTGATTATTCCCTCCTTTAGACAAAATTGACACTTTTGTAATAATAATCTATGGAAATGTGTTTGTTTTGCTGATATAAATCATCAGTTCATATAATTGACTTTAGAGCTTGCAAAACTCAAAGTCTTTTGAGATATACTAGTTGCCATCATACCTGTATCCTAAATTAGTCAGCATAAAGTGCTTAGAAACATGCATACCAAACTCTTATTAGAACTCCACATTGGAATTTGGTGGAGAAAGAATTTTGTCACATTTCACTCTACTGTTTTTATTTGATAAATGTTTCAGGAGCACAAAAGCATCTTGATGATATTTTGAGTTTAAATCCACCCATCAGGGCTGGGGGTGTGGCTCAAGCGGTAGCGCGCTCGCCTGTCATGCGTGCGGCCCAGGTTCGATCCTCAGCACCACATACAAACAAAGATGTTGTGTCCACCGAGAACTAAAAAAATAAATAAATATAAAAAAAAAAAAAAAAAAAATAAATCCACCCATCAGTATTTCCTTTTGAGTAGTTGTCAGTGTGAATTTGTTTTGTTTTACTGTATTTTCAGGCTATGCCCACCCTAATAGAATTAATGAAAGACCCCAGTGTAGTTGTTCGAGACACAACTGCATGGACTGTGGGCAGAATTTGTGAATTGCTTCCTGAAGCTGCCATCAATGATGTCTACTTGGCTCCCTTGCTGCAGTGTCTGATTGAGGGCCTCAGTGCTGAACCCAGAGTGGCTTCAAATGTATGCTGGGTAAGGGATTTTCTTCCTGGTGAGCTTGCCTGAGCCAATGTCAAGAAAATAGGAGGTATGTAGGGCTGGGGTTGTGGCTCAGCGGTAGAATACTCACCTACCACATGCGAGGCCCTGGGTTCGATCCTCAGCACCGCATAAAAATAAATAAAGATATTGTGTCCAAACAAAAAATAAATATTAAAAAAAGAAAATAGGAGGTGTGAGAGAAAAGTGGATCTACCTCATTTGGAAGGCTTTCTCTGAATACCGTCTCCTTTCTAATTTCTTCAATTAAAACGTGGGAGAGTTGTCTATAGCAGGAGCCAGTGGGAACTGTTGAATCATGGTGACTAGATCTCAAAGCACTTAGAGCAGTCATGGCAATCATGACTGGAGAGGCACTCTGTACTTGCTTTTTTTCTTTTTTGGGGGGGCAGGTACGGGGAATTGAACTTAGGCACTTAACCACTGAACCACATCCCTAGTCCTATTTTGTATTTTGTTTAGAGACGGGGTCTCACTAAGTTGCTTAATGCCTCGCTAAATTACTGGGGCTGGCTTTGAACTCACTCTCCTCCTGTCTCTGGTCTTGCTTTTCTTCCTTGAGTTGCTCCCAGACAATAAATTTCAATTAAGGTAGACAGTTGTTGGCCACCATTGCCAAGAAAGGGACAAAAAGGACCGAAAGTGGGTGGTCTCAGTGCTGAGTCAGTATAGAGTGCATGTCATTTATTGGGGGCCTTTGGGGTATAGAGGAGGAAGATGAAATAAGGAAGGAGTGGGCTAAAAGCCTTTCTGTGAATGGAAAAATAACAGTATTGGTAGGTGAAAATATTTTGCTGCTTAAACGAGTTGGATGTAGCCAGGTGCAGCAGCTCATGCCTATAATCTCAGTGGCGCACAGGAGGATCGTGAGTTCAAAGCCAGCCTCAGCAATGGCAAGGTGCTAAGCAACTCATTGAGACCCTATTCCTAAATAAAATCCAAAATAGAGCTGGGGATGTGGCTCAGTGGTCGAGGGCCCCTGAGTTCAGTCCCCAGTACCCAAAAAAAAAAAAAAAGAGCTGGACGTATTTATGAGATAGGACAAGTAGACAATATAAGTAAGTAAATGTTTAGTTTTAAAGATACCTATAAAATGTAGAATGTATTGTGATGACCTTGACAGAAAAAGTCTTTTTTGAGTTTTATTAGCATTGATATGTTCGTAAGTCAGTTGGAGAACACTGCTCATGGTATCTTAAGGAAACATGAGGTAATCCTAGGAGACACTTCCCTCAGTACTAATATTTAATCTGTCTGCTTTTTAGGCATTTTCCAGTCTGGCTGAAGCTGCTTATGAAGCTGCAGATGTAGCTGATGATCAAGAAGAACCAGCCACTTATTGCCTGTCTTCTTCATTTGAGCTCATAGTTCAGAAACTCCTGGAAACCACAGACAGGTAACCAATGATCCATAGAAGTGGCTGATATCACTGCACATGGTGGCACCCTTCTGTAGCCCCAGGTACTTAGGAGGCTGAGACAGGAGGATAGCTTGAGCCCAGCAGTTGGGGGACAGCCTGGCAACATAGCATGACTGTGTCTTTAAAAAAAAAAAAAGAAAAGAAGTGTTTTGTTGTTATTTGTTTTATTCATGCAGCTCCTGTTGTCCTCTGGAGGATAGTAATGTAGAGGGATTGGACTGGATTTTACCTGCCCTAGGGGAGTTACAAGAATCCTATTGTAGATTGCATTATTTATTTAAATAAAAGGGAATGACAAACGTAAACTATGCTACTTAGGATTGTTAAGAAGCCCCATCATTTTTTTGCTTTTTGTTTTTAATATTTTTTAGTTGTTGAAGGACTTTATTTATTTGTATGTGGTACTGAGAATTGAACCCAGTGCCTCATGCATCTAGGCAAGCGTGCTACCACTAAGCCACAACCTCAGCCTGAAGCCTCATCGTTTTGCAGTATTGACAGTTGATGGTGGAGTATTTGGTAATGGTATAGGAGAAATGGTGACACTGTAAATCAGAAGATTTATACCAACTCAGTAACTGTTAATTTTATGATATCGGATAAAATTTAGCATTAGTATTTATACAGTTGATATATAAATGAGCTTAAGTTTGGAGTTGGTATTTGCAATGACTTGGGTGATCAGGGGATGAGAATCTCGGGTCCTAAACCAGCTTTAGCAACTTAGCAAGACCCTGTATCTGAATAAAAATAAATTGAAAAGAGCTGGGGATGTGACTTAAGTGCCCCTGGGTTCAATCTCTTGTTACCCTAAAAAAAAATTTGGGGACCCCAAACTTGTGTTTTGTGTGTTATACCTAAAGCCATGAGCAAAGTAAATGATTAGGTAGGGACTGGGCATAAACTTCCATGTTTAATCCTTACTTCCCTGTTAAGATTGTATGAAAAAAAATTGGTGTATCTCCTCATCTATTCAGGCAACCTCTTTAATTATCCACATGGATTCTTTTTAAGTTCTGATTTCTAGGTATTATATTGCCAAACTCAGATAAGGTCTACAGTTGTACCAGTTTCTGGTTTTCTATTTTTGGAGAGACATTCCAAAACTTCTCTGTCCTTTTTCCACAGTTGAGGCTTTAAGATTTTTGCCATATGTTCCTTACAGACCTGATGGACACCAGAACAACCTGAGGAGTTCTGCATATGAATCTTTAATGGAAATTGTAAAAAACAGTGCCAAGGATTGTTACCCTGCTGTTCAAAAAACTACTTTGGTCATCATGGAACGACTACAGCAGGTGCTTCAGATGGAGGTAAGACTGGAGTACCCTCAGCTATGGGGTGAAGGGGATAGTACTTTTGACAAATATAGCTGCTGTTATTTCTTTTTGTTGTTCAAGTCAAGTATATAAGGTTTAAGAAAGATACAAGGCTTAGATGACAACAACCAAAAAAACCAATATTGCAGTCTTGAGGAGGCCCTTAGTTTAGTCCCCAGCACCAGTGCCCCCATCCAAAATGGAACTTAACATTTTCATTGCTTGTCACAGTTCACTTGCATTTGTATTATATTTCTTGTTTTTACTTAGTTTTCTACAGTAAAATTGTTTTTTCCTGTAAATAAAATATATATAAAACAGCAAATAAAGATGATTAAATAAAATATGTAAATTTATTTTATGTGTTATTTAATGATGGAAGGTTTTCACTTAGAACACGATTTCTTCTTTTCCTTATAGTCACATATCCAGAGCACGTCTGATAGAATCCAGTTTAATGACCTTCAGTCTTTACTCTGTGCAACTCTTCAGGTATGATGGTGCTTTATCACCTTTTTTTTTTAATTATTTTTTTTTAATTCATACACTATAGTTACAAATAATAGTGGAATTCATTATACCATATTTGTTTTTGGGGTTTTGGTTTTTTGTTTGGTTGGTTGATTTTTTTGGTACCGGGGATTGAACTGGGCGGCAGGGGGGCACTCAACCACTGAGCCACAACCCCAGCCCTATTTTGTATTTTATTTAGAGACAGGGTCTCACTGAGTTGCTTAGCGCCTTGCTTTTGCTGAGGCTGGCTTTTTCATGATCCTCCTGCCTCAGCTTCCTGAGCCTCTGGGATTATAGGCGTGTGCCACCACACCTGGCTAATGCCATATAACAATTTGGTCAGTCTCTTTCCTCCCTTCCCCTGATCTGCTTGAGAACTTTGCTAATTTTCCTTCTATTACTATTTTAATTAGTTCATTATAATTATATAAAAAGTGTGTCCCCCCCACTCTTCAGTTTTGAGACAGGATCTTATGGTCTTGCTAAATTGCTGAGGCTGTCCTTTAGCTTGTGATCTTCCTGCTTCAACCTCCTCACCTTAATGAAACGCAGGCCTCGGGCTGGGGATGTGGCTCAAGCGGTAGCGCGCTTGTCTGGCATGCGTGCGGCCTGGGTTCGATCCTCAGCACCACATACAAAGATGTTGTGTCCGCCGAAAACTAAAAAAAATAAATATTAAAATTCTCTCTCTTTCTCTCAAAATTTTTTTTTTAAAAAAGAAAGAAACCCAGGCCTCACTCATGAGAGTCAAGCACTCTACCACTGAGCCACATTTCCATTTCCAACCCCTTAACCACTTCTTAATAGCTTCAGGGAAGAAAGTCTGTCTCATGAGTTCTTATACTCTCACAGCTCTGAAATGGTGTAGACAGTGCTTTTCTCAGTTTGGTATATGACTCTTCGGAAGAGTGATTTCCTACCTTCCTTTCCTTTCTGTCAAGAAAGATCCAGTTTGTCTTTTGAGAAGGAAACACCTCAGTATGTATTGGTCCCTTCCAGCTGAATAGCTAATTTGTGTTGGCAGCTTTTGATCTTGGTTTCCAACAAGACTAGCTCAGTCAGATTCAGTTTCCAGCTGTGGTTCTTCTTTTTTAGAAAAGGGGGTAGGATGAGGTGCTATAGCCCATACCTGTAATCCAGTGTTTCAGGAAGCCTGTAGCAGGAGGATCGCAAGTTTGAAGATAGCCTCAGCAACTTAGCAAGACCTTGTCTCAAAATTAAAAAGTAATTTTAAGGGGGCTAGAGGTGTGATTCAGTGGTTAAGTGCCCCTGGATTGAATCCCTGGTACCAAAAAAAAAAAAAGTGGGTTGGGGTTTTAATTCAGTGGTTGAGTACTTGCCAAGTATGTGTGAAGCCCTGGGTTTGGTCCCTGGAACAACAACAAAAAAAAGTATGGCGTTTCTACCATCATCTTTTGATACACTTGCTATTAAAAGTTTTATCATTGTTACACCATATATAGTGCCTTGTATTCACAGTAGAATCTTTTTTTAAGGAGAGGCTGAAAGCTAAAATAAAATGTTGCTCTCATCTCAATGCAGTAGCTGGGAAGCTATTCCTTTCTTTTAAAAAAGCCCTGGAACTTATTTGTAGTATTGAATTTTAGTATTAATTACATTAATTAGGTCATCTTACCTGTGAACTCCTTTTTTGTCCCAGACTTTAACTTTTTAATAGATGACTGTTGAGAGATTTTCATTTCTCATCAGACAAAATACAGGAAAGATTCAGTGACATGAGTTGAAGCAAACAAAAGAATAAGGAGACAGATTTGATTGCTGTGTAATGTATGAAATTGGAAAATGTTTATCAGGACTGTGTACTTTTGATCACTTACAAGTCTGTTGGAATACAGGAAGCATTGCTTTTTGTTTTGTAAGTAGGAACTTCTAAAGCAACATGATTTTTTAAATTAATTAATTGATTATTGGTACTGGGGTTCACCCCAGGGGTGATTAACCACTAACCATATCCCCACCCCTTTTTATTTTAACTGTCGTTCCAGTAAGACTAGAATAGGGAGACTACTGATAGGGGTTTGTCGGGCCAGCGTAAATGAAGCACAGAGTTTACTTTTGCCCCATGGAGGGTCTATCATGTTTTTTGTGAACTGAAAAACAGAAGAGTTATTAAAATGAATGTAGCATTGCAGATGCTTTGCAGTGTCAAAGTTCTTTTTTTTTTTAAATAAGCACTCTACTGACAGCTATATTCTCAGCCCTGATCTGTAATCTTTTTTTAAATTTGTTTATTTATTTTTTTAGTTTTCAGCAGACACAACATCTTTGTTTGTATGTGGTGCTGAGGATCGAACCCGGGCCGCACGCATGCCAGGCGAGCGTGCTACTGCTTGAGCCACATCCCCAGCCTCTGCAGTGTCAAAGTTCTTGAGCAAAGAAAAAAAAATTGGCCTTTCTAAAACTTGAGAGGGGGTCTTAACTGATTTAAAAAAGAAAAGATATAATGTTCTGATAGAAAGGTTTGGAATTATTAATAGGTCCTGAATTCTCATTTGTTCACAGAATGTTCTCCGGAAAGTGCAACATCAAGATGCTTTGCAGATATCTGATGTGGTCATGGCCTCCCTGTTAAGGATGTTCCAAAGCACAGCTGGCTCTGGGGGAGTCCAGGAGGATGCCCTCATGGCAGTTAGCACACTGGTGGAAGGTAAGTGAGCACTAATCAGTTGGGGAATGACTTCAGAAAGCAGAAGTTTTAATATCTCTGAAATTTTGCTAAAAAAAAAAAAAGACATAGTTCTTTTACTGTGGACTGAGTGACTCAGTTCATAGATTGAACCTAAGTATAAATTATATAATTGCCTTGGCAATCTTCTTGAAGTCAATGGGGAGCCAGTTTGCAACAGGGAGTCAAGATTGGTAACCTTTTTCAGAGGAAACTATACCTATCTCAACTCAATAGATTACTTCTTGCCTTGAAAGTCCACTTGCTTTATTGACTCCTATCAAGGGTAGAGGAAGTAAAAGTTTCTAGTTTCATTACTGTCATGTGATACCTCCTGGTTCCAGTTTTAATGCTTTGGACTCAGGTGTGGGATATAATGAAACATTGAGTGAGTTTTAGGAATTAATTGATTTTTCTGATTGTTACATGTCTGACTGCAAAATTGCTCTGGGCAAGCCATATCTGACTTAAAATTCTTTGAAGGGCCATTAAAAGCACATAAAAGAGCACTTAAGAAATCTGGCATGCTTCTTCAGGGTTGACCTAGACCTATAAGTATATTACTGAGGCCATTTCTTGAGGACCACTCTCCTGAGGACCAGTCCTACTGCTGGCATAAAGAGCCTGTGTCCAGCTGGTCTGGCAACATGTGACTACCTGAGAAGGGCAAGGAAGTTAATTTTGGCTCCTGAAGTGGTGTTTTGAATCTGAAGCTCTGTGCTGCTTTTCCTGGCTCTGGCTTATTAAGCCCTTGATGGGATTGCCTAGGAACCCTGGTTTGAAGCTGACCTCTAGAGAGGACATATAATCAGATGAGGGGAGGTGGGGAAAGAAGCAGTATTACTGGCTCAGTCAATTCATAATTTACCTTGAAGTTCCTTAAGATCCTGCCACTTCATGTTTTAGCAAAAGTAAAATCCCATTCTGTATTAAAGTTGGTACTGTCTCTGGGACATAAGAATTAAGCCCTCCTATTAGTTATGAACTTGGCTTATGTGAGATGGAAACAGTAACTAACACATTCCACCAACTTGTTGAGGATTGCATACAATTTTAGGAGAGCTAGGATGGTTATTTTGCTCACCTGATATCCTGTGTTGCTATCATTTGCTAATATCTATCTTGTTTCAGTGTTGGGTGGTGAATTCCTCAAGTACATGGAGGCCTTTAAACCCTTCCTGGGTATTGGATTGAAGAATTATGCTGAGTACCAGGTAGGATAAGCTTTTCAAATTTTCAAAAATTATTATTATTTTTTTTTTAGTTGTAAATGGACAGCATGGCACTGCCTTATTTATTTTTGTATGCAGTGCTAAGGATCGAACCCAGTGCCCCACAGAGGCTGATCAAGTGCTCCACCACTCAGCCCCAACCCTAATATTTATTTATTTATCTATTTATCTATCTGTCTATTTATTCATTCATTCATTCATTTATTATGGCTTTTGTTGTACTGGGAATTAAACCCAGGTCTTCACACATGCAAGGCAGATACTGTGTACCATTGAACTGTATCCCCAGCCCTCAAAATATAATCGTATTCTCATACCTGTTAGCCATTGAAGTACAGAAAAGATCAGGTTCCTATGATCTAAGTAGTTTTCCTTTTTGTATTGTTTGAACTAGAAATAGTCTATTTAAAACGGGATATTGGGCTGGGCATGGTGGCACATGTCTGTAATCCCAACGGCTCAGGAGGAGCCCGAGGCAGGAGGACCTTGAGTTCAAAGCCAGCCTCAGCAAAAGCGAGATGCTAAGCAACTCAGTGAGACCCTGTCTCTACATAAAACACAAAATAAGTTTGGGGATGTGGCTCAGTGGTTGATTGCCCCTGAGTGCAATCCCTAGTACCAAAAAAAAAAAAAAGGATATTGGATCTACCCAATAAGGGACTATACAATGAATGACTGTGGCTGTACAGTATGAATACAAGGGCAGCTTATAAAGTTACCCCATAAGTACCTTAAAAAGCAAACCTAGGGGCTGGGGTTGTGGCTCATTGGTAGAGTGCTCACCTAGCACTTTGAGGCCCTGGGTTAGATTTTCAGCACCACATAAAAATTAATAAAATAAAGGTATTGTGACCAACTACAACTAAAAAATAATAAAATAGAGGGGGAGGGCTGGGGATATAGCTCAGTTGGTAGAGGGCTTGTCTTGTATGCACAAGGCCCTAGGTTCAATTCCCAGCACCACAAAAAAAAAAAAGAGAGAGAGAGAGAGCAAAGCTTCTTGTGGTTTTGTTTGTTTGTTTGTTCTGAGAATTGAACCCAGGTCCTTGTGCGTGTGAGGCAAGCACTCTGCCAACTGAGCTATATCCCCGGTCCCAAGCTGCTTATTTTTTAACCACCTGTTTCTACCACCACCAGCAGCTCCAGTGAATAATGTCCTTCCTTTCTTTCTTTCTTTCTTTCTTTTTTTTTTTTTTATTAATGGTATCTCTAATACTCCTAATTACTTCTTGCCATTAACTAATCTCAGCTGTTGTTGGGGGAGGTGGTCTTTGATTCTAGGTCCTGCCTTACCCATATAGGCCACCTTTTCTTTTTGGGAGATTATTTCCTTGATTCTTTTCAGGTTTGTTTGGCAGCTGTGGGCCTAGTGGGAGATTTGTGCCGTGCCCTGCAATCCAACATCTTACCTTTCTGTGATGAGGTAATGCAGCTGCTGCTGGAGAACTTGGGGGTGAGTGTCTACACATATGAACAACCACTCTGAATAAAATCTAAGTTGGCAAGAAATTTAAGCATTAAGACCATGATAGGAAGCTATAAGTTCCCATAGCACTGTGAGCTTATGGGAGAAGGGAATTATTTTCTTTCAGATGATTTTAGAATCTACAAAGTTAATTAAAGGAATGTGTACTCTACTTGTAGAAAAAAAGAACAATAAAGTATAAAGGAAAAACAGTTTCTTGTGGGCTGGGGTTGTGGCACAGTGGTAGAGCGCTTGCCTAGCATATGTGAGGCACTGGGTTTGATTCCCAGCACTAAATAAGGATCCATTGACAACTAAACGATATTGTTAAAAAAAAAATTCTTTATCCAGCAATAATCATTTAACTTTTGTGTCTGTCCAAAGATTCTTCTTGAGTCTCTGGATCAAATTTTTATGTTAGTTAATTGACTTTTTTTTTTTTTAATCAGAATGAGAATGTCCACAGGTCTGTGAAGCCGCAGATTCTGTCTGTGTTTGGTGATATTGCCCTTGCTATTGGTGGAGAATTTAAAAAATACCTAGAGGTTGTATTGAATACTCTTCAGCAGGCCTCCCAAGCCCAAGTGGACAAGGTAAGCTTGAAGCTGTCCCGTTAATCGTTAAGTCCAGCTCTAAATGGAGGAGAGGACTATTTACAAACATACCATAAAGGTGATCAGTGGTTGGATGTGGTGGCACACATCCGTAATCCCAGTGACTGGAGAGGTGAGGCAGGAAGACTGAAATTCAAGGCCAGCTTGGGCAACTTAATAAGACCCTGTCTCAAAATAAAAAAGGATAGGGATATAGTTTAGTGGTAGAATATCTCTAGGTTCAGTCTCCAGTACCACAAAAAATATATATAATTGTTGTGATGGAACTTTTATTCTTTGTCTCTTCCAGTCCGACTACGACATGGTGGATTATCTGAATGAACTAAGAGAAGGCTGCTTGGAAGCCTATACTGGAATCGTCCAGGGCTTAAAGGGAGATCAGGAGAACGTACACCGTTGAGTATACAACCCAGCTCCTTAAGTCCACCCACCAGATTGCACAGCCAGATGAGCTATCTCTGCTGGTTGCTTTCTGACCAACCATGAATGGTTGATACATGACTACCCCCATATTACTATTGGGGGAGATATTTGTACTTTACCTGTTTTGACATTCAAGGTTCAGAAGAAAAAGTTCCATTTGTTCCTTGTACATTGTATCTGATTATTATTATTTGTTTCATCTGTTGATTTGAAAAATTACATCCTCATTTAGGAAGAATAATTTGGTACTACTCTGCAGCTGGTTATCCAGCTCAAACCTGATATAGGTAGAATAGCTGGAAACTTTGGAAAAGGTGTGGTCCTGCCAAATTCAAGGCAACTTCATCAGACCTTCTCTTTTCTTTTATAGCGGATGTGATGCTGGTACAACCCAGAGTAGAATTTATTCTGTCTTTCATTGACCACATTGCTGGGGATGAGGATCATACAGATGGAGTAGTAGCCTGTGCTGCTGGACTGATAGGGTGAGTTATACCTGCTTCCAGTAGCTAAGTATTCTCACGCAAAATGAGAAACGTGTAGGAATGAATCTTGAGAGACTAATAGATGGTAATAATCCACTTCTCAGAGGAGATTCAGGAGTTAGTTTGTTGTGATGTTGGGGATTGAACCCAGAACCAATACTCTACCATCAAGGAGATAGTAAGCTCATAGTGTCTCTCTTGGGTATTCATAAGTGATAATCCATTTCAGACCCTCTAGAGCTCTGTAATTTCTTCCCGCTAAACTCTGGTATTGGTCAATACCTCTGTTTAACATCCTTTGAGGGTTTCTGATGCATTGTTAAGAGAGCATTGGTCTTAAGCCCAAAGATCTGGATTCTAGTTCTGGTTTTTACAGTGAATTTAGCTGTTTAATCTTGGACAAATTATCCTAATTTATATCTAAAAGCTCTTCTAGCTTTAAAAAGTAGATGAATGCTAAGAACTACGTATTTAACTCAGCAGTGTTTTGACAGGTTCAAAACATGGTTCCTGGAGTTCATTCACAAGTGGTTTTATTCTACGCAGGGACTTATGTACAGCATTTGGGAAAGATGTACTGAAATTAGTAGAAGCTAGGCCAATGATCCATGAACTGTTAACTGAAGGACGGAGATCGAAGACTAACAAAGCAAAAACCCTTGCTACATGGGCCACAAAAGAACTGAGAAAACTGAAGAACCAAGCTTGGTAAGATTGGGTCACCACTTTTCTTTCTTCAAGTTTCTTAGGAGGAGGTACATTTAGGCTATTGTGGCAGGTGCTGGTATCTTATTGGTACTCTTTCCCTTATAGGTGCTTCCGGGCGAGACCTTTGTTCCTCATTCTTGTACTAAGGGAAAAGTCAGGCAGTCTCATTTCTCTTGAGCCAGATATTTGATTGATTATGGTGCTGGAGAATAGGACCCAGGGGCATTTTATCACTGAGTTATATTCCCTGCCCTTTTTATTTTTTAGTTTGAGACAGGGTCTCACTAAGTTGCTGAGGCTGGCTTTGAACTTGCCATCTTTCTACCGTAACCTTGTGAGTCACTGGAATTACAGGCATGCACTGCCCTGCCTGCCAACAGAACTTTTTTGTGGTTTTGTTTTGGGGGCTCTGGAAATTTAATCCAGAGACACTTCACCACTGAGCTTCATCCATAGTCCCTTTTTGTTTTTGAGACAGGTTCTCACTAAAAACCTCAATAATTTGCTGAGGTTAGCCTTAAATGTGCCTTCCTCCTGTCTCAGACTCCTGAGTCTCTGGGATTATAGGCATATGCCACAACACCTGGTTAGAACAGAACTTTTACAACAAAAAATTCCCAAAACATTTGGACCCTAATAAAACTATTGATAGAGGCATTCTCCCATAATTCTCTTTTCTACACCCTTCCCCATTCCCTCTCGCCCGCAATGCTGCGGATCAGACCCAGGGCCTTGTGTCTGCTAGACAAGTATTTTAAGACATTGCCAAACTCCATAGAAGATATCCTTTGAGACCCCTGCTTTGGAACATAGGTTTGTTTGTTTGCTTTCTGCAACTTAGTAATTAGTAAAAAAGGGGGGGAGGGCTATTTTTAGTTTTTAATTTTATTTTCCCATCTACCCCTGATGGATATGCTCATGAGAGCAGGTAGGTGGCACATAGGAAGAGAAGGAAAATTATTCATTCTTGAAGTTGACAAATCCATTCAGCCTATGAGCACTTGGTTGTAGGAATTGGAGGTATTTAGGTTTTATTGAGCATATGTGATCCTAGGATTGATCTTTTCCTTCCATCTGTTTTTAGATCTGTTACCATTGGGATGATAACCTGAGACCCCCACTGGAAATCTCCAATCTTTTGAAAAACCCGGAAGTGAGGAGTGTGCACGGATGCTGAATGTTTGGGAATGAGAGGATGAGTGAGTGAGGCTTGAAAACACACCACATTGAAAATCCTGCCACAGCAGCAGCCGCAGCCGCCAACAGCAGCGCTGTTAGTGAGCTAAGTAAGCACTGACTTCGTAGAAAACCATAACATCAGCCATCTTGGAAAAGAGAGAAACGACGGATTTACTTGCTTACAAAAAAGCTGTCTCTTCCCAGGGGAGGCTAGAACTAGCTTTTCGGTCTTTTGGCAGTGCCGAGTGGAATGACTGGTTTGGGAGAGGAAGAGGGACTGGGTTCAGCTGTGGTGCTTTGTTGTAAAAGGCAGCCTGGCCTTTGCTACTGAGGAGAAAGATGGAGCCTGGGTCTCAAGCCCACCTTCGCTGTACCTTTGCCACACGGTATTTTACACGTGCAGGCTAGAAGGAGGGTGAGGGATTTTTACAGTCTGAGAATGAGTGTGTGTGAGTGAGGCGGTATCCACATTCTCAACTTCAAGTCATTGCAGTTTCTTTTTCCCAGAAAACAAGGGGTTAGATGTTGCATTTCATAAAACTAACCGAAGTTCTGTCTACTGATGCAGCACAAGACATGTAAAAAAACAAAGAGGAAAAAAAAAAGGAAAGACGCTCTTTAGGTTTTGTTTTGTTGGTTTTTTTTTTTTTTTTTTTAATTATTTTAGGGAAAACACTGACGAATGGTCAGAGCTCCTATCCTGATCTTTTCATCAAGGCGCCTTTCCTAATAATATGGTTCAACTGTGAATGTAGAAGTGGGGGGGGGGAGGGGGGAGAAAAATAAAACTCTGAAGTTAGAGGATATAGAAAAATAAAAATACAAATTGTTACAAATAAAGAATGCAGACTTAAAAGACAAAAAAGCCACAACCCAAACCAAAATTTAAATGCTTGAAATTGGCAGCACAAAAGAAAAGCTCTCTCCTGACTTGTATCGTGGCAGTCTGAACGCCCCCAGAGAATTGTGCCAAAGAGTTTAGAAGACAAATAACCAATAAAAGTAAACACACATGTGCGCACACACATACAAACATACACAACAGCAGACTTCAGGTAACTATTTTGGATTGCAAATGAGGATAAATTTAATGTTTAAACAATCTGATAAAATAACCATTTGGAAACTGCTTGGCCTTCTGTTCTCTTTTATTTGATTGACTCCAATGCGGTATTGGTCTCTTGCTGCACTTCAAAACCAACTAACCAACAAAACAAAAGTGTGTGTGTCTATATGTATGTGTAGACACACACACAGCAGAACTCATGATGAAAGTGGCACTTGAAAATGGTTATATTTTTCCACTGAAGTTTGAAGATTAATAAAATGGTGTCAAACACTCCCCTGTTCACACATTTTAGTTTTTTGTTTTTCAAGTGTAATGTGCTGTGATTACCATAAACCAGAATCATTTTCCCTTTTACAAGGGATCAGGGCATCCTGAATTTTAGACTTTCAGCAATAAGAAGGGATGTTGGTGAGCTTTTGGTTTTTGCAGATACTAGGGAGTTTTTGTTGGCATTTGAGTATGCGGCTTTCAAAAAAAAAAAGGAAGGTTTTTAAATTGCTTCCTAGTAGTTTGAGGATTAAAAGGCAAGACCCACTTTCATTTTCATCCTGTAGAAAGCATGGGCTTATGTTTTTTCCCATCTCTTCCTTTGCATCTTCCCTTCCCTGATCCAGCCTTCCATTCAAAGTGGGATTGGCTCGGTTTTGCCCATCCGTATGGCAGCATCTCTAATAGCTCTTGTACAGGGTATCAAATATTGTGCCTTTTGGTGCCAGGTTCAAAGTCAAGTGCCGATCTATGAACCAGTGTACAAAAAAAAAAAAATCCAGGTGTTTGAAGGAGAGACGCTCCATTGTGAATAGAGAACTCACACCAGCTCCTAAGCCTATTGAGAAGAGGGCCTGGTCCTCTTAATGCCTTGTTTCCATTTTAGTTGTTTCTTGAGTGAGGGAGAATGATATACTAACCATTCCTGATATTAGGTAGGGTTGGGTCAGGGCTTAGGGAGGGGCAGGAATATTGGGGAAAGAAAGAAAAAATAATCTGATCATTCCTCAGTGCTACCCATTTCTGTCCTGTGTGGGTTGCTTAGCTAGACAGCAGGAGAATAAAGTACACCAAGAACCATAATAAAAACAAAACCTTCCGTGTGTTTTGTCATGTTTTGTTCCAGGGAACCAGTTGATAAGTGCTGTTATTAATGCTTTCTCCCAGATCCATTCAGTGATGGAGAGGAGGAAATGGGCTGGTTGGATTGTGGTCTTGGTGCCTTGTAGTTATTCTGCACTGGTTATGTATTTAATCCTCCTCTTTCCTAGATACCTTTGGCAAGTGGATTTTCCATAGTCTGGGTATTTTCCTTAATCAGTTGTACCACCTAAGGCAACTGGATGCAAATGCATTCTGTCCAATCATTGTCTGGGCCTTCCCCCACCCTAGTCTTGGCACATTCCTTTAAGAATGTAGTTACCGTCTGCTTGGGAAGATGTCAGTGCAAATGTGAAGAAAATGGGCATCGGACTAGACTTTGGTTTGCCACAAGTGGCAGCTGCCTATACCAATTACATTTAATTTTGCTTTTCATTTTTCCCTGTTTCCCTCAGCCCCCCTCTTGAAATGTGGAAATTTTAGCTGTCAGAGGCAACTGTAATATTGCCCTAGGGACTTGTGGAGAAAGGGAGGGGAATTGCTCAGTGTAGTGTTTTAAACTTTCAGAACCAAGCAACTATTTACTCTTACTATTTAAGAAGTGTGTTAGTCTGACTTTAAGAGAAATCCAAACTCCATCAGCTTTTGATAGCATCTTGGTTTTTGAAACAACTTCAATCTGTAATTGGCATTCAGAATGCCCTTGGCATGCCAGTCTGTGTGATGGCATTAAAGACCTGTTAAAACACTTGAGCCCAACTTTATTAACCAAAACTGATACCACCACCTTTATCTTCTAAATAAAGTCCGCTTTATTTTTATTTTCAACATTTTGCTGCTTCAGTTTTTTGTTACAGATTGTGTCGCCTCTATAGAGGTAAAGTGAGTGATTTGAAAGGAGCCAGAGTGTGGTGATAGGGAGTGTGTGTGAGTGTATGTGTGTGTGCACTTGAGAGTGGAAGGACACAAAGGGCTGGGGTGGTGCTCAGTAGCAAAATACTTGCCTTTGCCTAGCACATTCAACCCCCAGCACTGCAAAAACAAACAGAAAACTGCAGTGTGATGTGAAATAGAAACACTTCACCGTGAATGAGGAAAGGAGATGGCACCAAATAGGTTTCCTTCTTGGAGAGTGAGTGACTTTGAAGCAGTACAGAGATGTCCTTATCTCATGCATGTTTTTCAGGCTGAGAACTTGATACGGCCCATCTAAAAGTTGCTACCTATCTTGCAACATGCATTTAGTTTCCCCTTCCCTTTTTTCCCCAGAAACTGAAAGAACTGTAATTTGGGATTAAACTGGGTTCTTTCTTTCACTCTACTATTGATTAGCATAGTGGCACCAAGTTAACTGACACCTTAGTTCATGGTGGGCAAGTAAAATGAAGGCTGAGTTTAATTGGCCTACCTTTAACCCTTTCTTACTGCAAACCCATAAGATTTTTTTTTCTTTTTTTATACCTTTATTTTATTTATTAATTTTTATGTGGTGCTGAGGATCAAAGCCAGTGCCTCGCACGTGCTAGGCAAGTTCTCTACCAGTGAGCAAACCACAGCCCCCATCAGAAATTTTGATCACACGTACTTCCCCATGTGTTTATATACACCTGAACCCACGTTATATAATTTTAAGATAAAAATGGAAATTAAAAAGTTACATGAGAAACAAGTCCTAATATTTCTCCGCCCAATTCCAGAAAACAGTACAATGTTACATTTCCTTCCAGGGCCAGCTTAATCTACCTGAATACAATACAATACACTGAAAAAGTTATATTATTAATACTCATAACAACTTTAATGGCCATTATTGTTTTAGTGATGAGGAAGAAGGGGTAGAAAGATTGATGTAAGATCAAGTTCAGGCGAGCCAGGAATACCCAGGTAAGTCAGAAGACAGCATCCAGCATCTCACTTCTTCGCCCTGCACAACTGCACCTTAGCAATACAACATAAAGGTCCGTGTTCCGTACACTTGGGATGTGCCACCCACTTCCTTTGCACTGTATAAAAGCATATCTTAAGCCAGGTGCAGTGGCATGGACGTGTAATCCCAGTGATGGGAGGCTGACGTAGGGGTCTCAGCAACTTAGACCCTAAGCAATGTAGGGAGACCCTGCCTCAAAAAAATTTTTTTGTAAGAAGAGCTGGGGATGCCTCAATGGCAAAGCATCACCAGTACCAAAAAAATAAATGGGTAAATAAATCTATATCTTAAACCTTTTTTTTTTCCCATGATACTGAGGTTTGAACCCAGGGCCTCATAGGTTAGGCAAGTGCTCTAACACCAAGCTACACCTTTAGCCCCATACACTAACTTATTTGTTGTTGGTTTCTCCCACTATAATGTGGGTTCCTGTGCTGGGGGCATATCTCACTGGTACAGCCTAGCATGTGTAAGCATTGGGTTCAGTCCCCAGCATCAGCACTGTGCAAAAAATGTAGGCTCCCGAATGCAGTGACCTTGTCTGTCTTTTATTTACAATTGTATGCTCAGCTTAGAGCAGTGTCTGACATACAGCAGACCTTCAATAAATATTTGTTGAACTAATGACATGTCAGTACAGCTCAGGGAGTTTTGATGGCCTCAGTGTTTGAAGGGCAGAGCATCCAGAACTAGGAATGGCCAGGCCTTAGAAGTGGGGTTTCTAGCTCTTCCCTCATTTGCTAGATGACTTCCAGCTAGCCTCTTAGCTTTGGGTTAATGGGAGGAATGGGGACAAGATTAGTCAGTAATTAGTATCTCACAGAGTATAAATTTATTCGTCATTTATATTATTATAAAGGTACCCTTTTAGTCCCATTTTTATAGATGAAGAAATGGAAGCAAATGGGCTAAAAGTCCTGCCCAAAGTCATGCAAGCTAACAAGCAGTGCTGACACTGTAGATTGTGCCTGTACCACAACCCATGTGTGCCAATGTTGAATGTGAGCTTAGCTATTGATCAGAGCAAACCCTGAACAAAACATTTTGGAAATCAATAGCCAAGCCATTTTGTGTTCTATAAGACCCATCCTGAGCCTTTTAACTCAATGGGCTGTGTGTGTGTGTGATTCTTAACCTAAACTCAACTTTCCTCCTAATTGGAGTTTGAACTAAAACATCTCCCTGCACTTCTGTTCCATTTTTCCTCTGAGCTGGAAGCTTTTGAGAACCAGGGCTGGTGCAACCACTAGGCTGCTGAGTAAGCTCCACATCTGAATTACCCCATTCCCTCACTGATCTTGCAAAGCGAAGCACAGGCAGGAGGCCCACAAAGCCCAAGCTGGTCCTTCTACCAGGTGCTCTTTGACCACAGGTTCCCCAGCTGAGCTGTCCTCTGTGAAACAGACCTTTGTCTGAAAGGAAAGTACATCTCAGTTTTGGCAGCAGCCTGAGTTCTAGATGCAGAGGGGCAGCCTGTCACCATCCTAAGAGAGAATTGTGTCAATAAGCTCTCCATAGCAATGAGCAAGGCTTCCTCTTTTCTGAGCACTGTCCTTTGCAATATTTTAGTCTTTTTGAGTGTGACTTTGGGCAAATTCTTCAACTTTATTATTATTATTATTTTGGTACTGGAGATTGAACCCAGGGGTGCTTTACCACTGACCTAATCCCCAGCTCTTTCTTTATTTTTTACTTTTGCTTAAGCTTTGCTAAGTTGCTGAGGCTGGTCTCAAACTTGGAATTCTCCTGCCTCAGCCTCCCAAATCAAAATTCTTCAATTTTTCTGAACTATAGTCTCCTCATCTGTGAAACAAGAATCCAAATTATAGATAATGCATAAAGTTCTTAGCACAGGGCCTTCAATGCTACATAATTAATCAATTAATCAACAACTATTTATATACCAGACCCTGTTCAAGAGATTGAGGGTACAGCAGCAAACTAAACAAAATTTCTTTCTTATGGAGCGATTGTTCTAGTGGATAATACATAGGAAGTGGTCAACAATTCAATATAATTTTTTGTAGTGTTGGGGATGGAACTCAGGGCCTTGCACATGCTCAGCAAGTGCTACCACTGAGCTATATCCCCAGCCCCAATATAATTTTGGGGGGATTCAGGGGCTGAGGATGTAGTTCAGTGGTAGAGCGTTTGCTGAGCATGTGCAAGCTTCTGGGTTCCATCCCTAGCACTGCAAAACAAAAATAAAAATTTGGGGAGATAGACATAAACATAACTGTGGAGAAAGCATATAGAG